ATACACCATTCCCCTTTCCCCTTTCACATTTTAATCATACCCACCATATTATAATTACTCATAATGTAACGGTTTTGAGGGAATTGCAAACGGGTTAAAAGTAAAATACAGCATTTGTCATACACCACACACCACTCCACATTCACCATACATCGTACGTTTAATTGAAAATTTTACAAAAAGGCTGTATGTTTCGATCTATTATTTGTTTATATATTAACTAACAAACTTTGCACAGTAAACTTCAATATAGTTTAACCCAATCACATTCTGTATGTTCCTGTCCTAAGTCAGAAGCCTGTAATTCAGTGGTTGTTGTTGTTTTTGTATGTTATATTTGTTTTTCGTTCATTATTTTGTACATAATTCAGGCCGTTATATTTCTCGTTTGAATTGTTTTACAACTGTCATTTCGGGGCCTTTTGAAGCTGACTATGCGGTATGGGTTTCACTCATTATTGAAGTCCGTACGATGACCTATAGTTGTTAATTTCTGTGTCTTATGGTCTCTTGTGGAGAGTTGTCTCATTGGCAATCATACCACATCTTCTTATTTTTATATCTAAACATTGAGCGACTTGTCTAACAACCGAAAATATAATCTACCGCCTGGCTATTTTTAACAAATTAAAAACCTGCAAGTAATTTAGAAACATAGGCAAGCTGTTTTAATAACTAGTTTTATGGTGATGATTGAAATTTGTTTATATATTAGAATAGCATATAATTTTTCCGCCTTTTGGAGACCCTGTAATGGGCCTCTGATATAAAGACAAGCTAAAGTGTTTTGATTGGTCAGTTATATATGGATATTTCCTAATTAATAATTCAGACAGAAAAAGGATCGATATTATTTGTAATTAATAAGATATTTTTTCAGTTTTGGATATCAGACTTTTGTTATTTTCTCAATGTGTTGCCAACAAAAAACTGAAAGCAAGTGTGCAAATTGAATGTAGACATTTTGGAAAAAATCTCTTTACTTATTTTGATTTTGAAATGTTTGTAAGTCAAAAAGAACTAACTTGATGGTTCTAATAGTTAATTCTTTACTTGCATAAAAATTTTTAGGTTTAATTTTGAGGTGATATTAATTTTGATGACTCATATTCAAACAACCTTAATCAGTGTTGCTCAATAACCAATAGGGAATCGGAACGTATAAAAATCAGGAAAAGTTAACATATATAAATACAGTCGATAAATCAGCATTTTGCGTCTGCAGATTAACCTTATAACTCTACAATTTTTTTTTGAATTGATAATTGGAAATGTTTTCAAGAACTATTAGAGTAACTTTATGCAAGTGCAAAAGAATTGACTACCGAAACAGAGATTTATACGTGTACAACATAGATTATATGCATTCTCTTATGAGTGTGACCTGTTATCTATTTCCCACATGAGAAGCATTTCTCGTATCACACTGAATTGAATGCAATATGAATCAACGATACGAAAAGTGCATTGAGTTGAGCTCCTGGCACAATATTCTCAATGGGTTAGCGGACTATTAAATGAATTTAATCTAACATATTTCAACTAACTTTTCCAATAAGAGAGAAAGCTTTATTTGAAACTCGTTCGAATTGGATATCGCTTGATATCATCTCTCGTGATTTAATTTCAGTAATATCAATTACCTCGCCAAAGGCTCGATTTTTTTTTATATTGAAATTAAAAAACACCATATAATATCAAGCGATATCCAATTCTCATTCGTTATGAAAACTTCAATTAATAAACTACCAACATAAGCAAACATTTGATATGATGAAAAAGTAAAACAATAGTCAGTGTACATAATACATGACTTGTATAATGGGTACATGTATATGCCAGTTTATTTTTACGCTTTTGCAACTTTAGGGAAATCTTTACAATCGTATACAAGTCACTTTCACAATGCTATTAAAAACGTACTTCAAAAAATTACAAATTAAGAAACTATCACAATTTTCACACCTTAGCCGAAACTTGGCCTGGTACACAAACACATTATTTATCCAAATTTTTAATTGACATAATTACTAGTTATTGGATACCAACTAGCCGTTTGTTGATTTATATCATTTTTGTTTTTCGTTTTCTGTTTTTTTTTAAACATAAATGAGGCTGTCATTTTAGTTTTCTCGTTTGAATTGATTTACATTAGTCATTTCGGGCAATTTTAAAGCTTACTATGAAGAATATGTTTTGTTCATTGTTGAAGGCCGTACGGTTACCAATATTCGATAACTTCTGCGTCATTTGGTATCTGGTTGAGGGTTGTCTCATTGGCAATCGTATCATAATCATAATTACATATTATTTAGTTACTGTACAGATGTTGAGATATATTTTTCATGTCTAGGTATAATGCTACATGTACATGATACCGAATTTATATTTATAAACCATTTTTTTTCGAATTGATAACGGGAAAGTACCACTCTATCAATGTAACTTTATGCGATGATTCAAGTACAAAACTTGTACCTAGGTAACCTAAAAAGACATCGACTCAGTTTAAGATGTACAATATTTATAGAATTCATTTCTTATCAGTTGTGCTCAATAACAAATATTTCTTGTTGGTTTATTGTATTATATTTATCAATGTTGATTTTTCTTTTGTACGTTCTGATTAATTTTTGTATTGTCTTATGTTTCTGTTACATCAACCCTATATCATTCATTTGCTAATATGTATCATTAGTTTTTATAGAATATTACATTATATTTCAGTAAAATGCAACTTTTTGGGGTCATTTGTTACCTGTTGGTATTACTGGATGGGGACCAAATTGCTCTGAGGGAGAAATGGAAAACGGGAATTAAAGATAGACTGATAGATGGAAAGCATATTGTTGATTTATTTAGTACCGAATCAATGTCAAAGGTTTTTAATCAAATTCACTTGCTGAAAATTTTTATTGAGACCGTCGATAGTCTTGCTTCCTTCATTCAGGAATTTAATTCAAAAACAGAACTAGATATGTTTAAAGAATTAAAACAGATTTCACAGATACAAACAAACAACTTGAACAAGCAAGCGACAGAAGGTTTGGTAAAGAATTTCGAGACACCATTTTTGAGCTGAGAAATATTGAATTTAGTTTCGTAATCCTTAACCGTTTTTGGAGAAATTGGAGGAGTTTGAATGTACAAACAGTGCCGAGTGTGAAGTTGGACTGCCATTGATAATCAAGCTCTTTAAAAATGACTTTGATATTGGAGACTACTATTCACACATTCTCAAAACAACTATAAATGGTACACGGTTTTCGAAGGATTCCCTAATTCAGCAAGTGAAGAAAATATCTGGCTGTGATGAGGAAACATTTTTTAACTTTAGAAAACACTTGCTTTTAAAACTATTCAAAGCGGAACAAATCATGATCGTGTATGGTAAGTTGGCAAAGAAGGACATTGATTCAACAATACAGATTCATCAATGGACTAATGAAATGTACGAATTACGAAGGTCCTTATTAAGAGTTGCAGAAGAATGTTCCTCACGTGATGTTTGTAAATCAAAGTGTCAAAACGGTGAATGTATCCGCCTATCAGAGGAAAAACGTGACATGCATACGTTGCCGGTTGGCAATCCCATCTACAATCACAGTCACAGATGCAGTTTTGACGCCAGCAGCCGTCTGGTATCTAAAATCGACCATTTCTCTTAAATATCTGCATGCTGGCAGTACAATGTCTGCACATGCTGTTGACGCCGTATATTAGCATTAAGAGAAAACCAGCAGTTAAGGTGTGAACCATTTGAAATAAAATTCATTATCTTAACATTTATTATCATCAAATGACCAATCTTGTAGTATGTATGCATATGGCAATGTTCATAATAATATTATAAATAGCCAAATTCAACTTAAAAAAAAAAAATACAGACAAAAGATGGATACGTGTATACTAAACTTGCGCCTGCTTTTAGACATTTGACAGATTTTTGTTTTAAATATTCGCCAGTCTACATTGCAATGGAAATAAATGTTTTGAATTGCAGACCCACGTTCAAACCCCCGTTAGTTCATTAACTTGAATCTTTATTCACACTTCAGAAAACCCAAAACAAGAAGCATTTTTTCGCTACGTTTGCCTTCTTAAACATGCCATAGACACATTGAAAACTCAAATCCGCAGTAAACATTCACACTTCACTGCAAACATCTTTATAGGAAGCATTAGATAATTCTGCAATAACTGTCTATCATACGTGGTATAAACTATAACATAAGAATAGCGACGAATCTAACTCACACATAACACATGCAGATTGCAGTTTTAAGTATTTGGTGTTGGGCCATGTCTTACCCTGGTAGGTGAACTATTGGATGTTGAATGGAATATGCATAAAATTGTCAAACAGTAATGGTATAAGACAAAATGAAACAAAAACTGTAACAGATATTTCAACTTGTCAACAAACGTTTGGATCAACCCTAAACCAATCTTTCAAATAAAATTAAGAATGGAAACGGGGAATGTGTCAAAGAGACAACAACCCGACCAAAGAGCAGAAAACAGCTGAAGGCTACCAATGGGTCTACAACACAGCGAGAAAATCTTGCACCTGGAGGCGGGCTTTACCTGGCCCTTAAACAAAAATGTATACTATTTCAGAGAAAATGGACGTCAAACTAAACTCCGAAACATATAATTCCCGATTAATGGTATAGTTTAACGTATAAATAATCTCATCATAGATACCAGGATTAAAATGTTATACTCCAGACGGGTGTTTTGTCTGTAAAAGATTCAACAATGACGCTCGAATAAAAAAGTTAACAGACAAATGTTCTTCTGTTTCAAATCAAGTATTTGATCCAAAAAATAATGACAAAAATCCCAGCCACAGAACGCAGTAAGTGATAACAAATCATAAGGTACATTGTTTAAATTTTGGATGTCGTCGAGTATTTCCCTTAGCAATTTCTATGTTGTAAGTCTATAACAGTAGCCGTTTATGAAAAAAAATAGATAAATAAATCAAAGTAAGATACCTTGCTTGTGTTCTGTGTTGAGTACAACTCTGTCCAAATCTATGCTATTAGATATGATCTTAAAGGTTTAAATACAAATATTTGATGAATTGGTAATTGACAAATTAGAAATAACTAGAAAAGAAAAAAAGGAAGAAAACTTGGTTAATATGGTTTGGCAGGTTGTTCAAAATACAACAATTACTATTATGATCTATTCTCTTTGTGAAGTACATTGTGAAATGCAGACCACTGCAAGTAATACTAATTATAGCGAGCTAATCATGTGTAGTTATCAAAACGGTTTTGACATATCCTTGAACTGTTGCAATTTGAAAAATTTGCCGTATATCCAATGCTGATTTTTTCAACAACTTTTGGTATTGGAAGTCTCACAATAGTTTGCATTCAAGTAAAGAACAAAATATCAATTAAATGAAAATCATGACAGTCTGATAATGTTTGTTCAAATTTATCTTTAATGTTTAATACTTTGAGAACAATTTACTGAAGGATAATTCTATTAAAATCAGATTCCGTCTACTTATTATGGTATTAAAAGCGAATATGATAGGAGAAATCTTATATCTGTTATTCCTCGTTATAGATTCAATTTCTAAAAAAGCAAATATTTTGAGATGAGCTTATGGTTAAAACTAAATATCTTAATATTTCCACAGAAAAATTAAAACTAACTTACAATTTATTTTCAAAATTTGTTTAGGGGCTAGTTGAAGTCCACCACTGTCTAGCTGCATTTAAGACCCATTATTGGTGTTTGGCCGTTTACTGCTCTGGTCAGGTTGTTGTCACTTTGACACATTCACCGTTTCTAGTTACTTTTCTACATTGATTTAGTTATTGTATAAAACAAATATAACTAAAACAAACGTTACCTTATTTGAAATATTGTGCTATTTCCTACCTATGAATTGATACAATTCAGTACAAAAAGTAAAATTGATGAATACTAGTAGCAGAACAGTAAATGGATTATTAACCCCTTTCAAAAAAGACATGTCTGGCATATGAAAACAAAGCAGCAGCTACTATACCAGGTATCTTTATTAAGACACTTGTCTAACCAGAACATAAACCAAAAATTACATTCAAAGATTAACACGAGATTTTCAATAAAAGTTAAGTAAACGTACCATTTATATCCCTGCAATGTATTAGTCGTAAATTTGCATTCGACATGAATCCCCCCCCCCCCCCCCCCCAAAAAAAAATACATTGTGGTCTAAACAAAGACATCAATGTTCTGGACTATATTGGCACAATTAACATATACGAAGACGTATAACAAAGATATCTAACACCAAGGCATATTAAAAAAGGGTGAGACTATAAAAACTGACAATATTAAACGCTATCAACTAAATGAACAAGTGAAAACAAATGTCATATTCCCTGATGGTAGGGCGTGCGCGAGCTAAACATTATTTTGCACGAAATTTAGTGCAAATATGGTAGAAAATTCAAGAATCTATAACTCTTTCTACGCGTTCTGACTTCGATTTGATGCAACGTTAAGGACAATATCTGGACAACACATATCGATGTATGAATGCATAGGAGTGGTATTCAATATTTCTTACACATGAAAAATTATTGATTTAAAAAAGACTAGGATATCAAGAAATTTAAATGAACTCCTGCAACCAAATGCAGTGACGCTATAAGAAAATAAGTAGGGCAAATAAAAAAATAAAAATAAAAATAAAAGAGACAACAACAAGACAACATGAAAGAGTAAAAAGACACCCTTATTCCATCAACAGATCTAGACTGGACAGATTTTCCGTGTTCTTGACATTATCCAGTATGATAATAAATTTTTCATACTTGTATATATGATAATTGGTTGAGCCTTTAAATCATCGTTTTTATAGACATCTCTCAACTGTTTTAATAATAAGAAACATCCATACATTCTGTAGGTCAGTATCACACATCCAATTAACTTATTGTTTTTGTTTATATGACTTTTTGATCGAGTTAAGCTATTTCAATTTATATTTAATAGTGTGTCTTTTTATGTTGTAATGTTACACTACTGTTTCCTTTTAGAGTGAAGGTTGGCGCCTGTTAAAATCATTAAATCTGCTGCATTTGTAATCACCTGTTAAATCCGTTGCATTTGTTTGCACCTGTCTTAAGTCAGGAACCTGATGTTCAGTGGTTATCGTTTGTTGATTTGGTTCATAAGTGTCTCTCGTTTCTCGTTTTTTTATATAGATTAGACCGTTGGTTTTCCTGTTTGAATGGTTTTACACTAGTCATTTTTGGGGCCCTTTATAGCTTGCTGTTCAGTGTGAGCCAAGGCTCCGTGTTGAAGGCCGTACTTTGACCTATAATGGTTTACTTTTACAAATTTTGACTTGGATGGAGAGTTGTCTCATTGGCACTTATACCACATCTTCTTATTTATATTAGATAAATGATTGTTTTTTATAAGTTGTTAAAACCTTTGAACTAGATGTCTGTAACAGCGAGTACTCTCAGATCTGTATTTTGTATCCTTTTTGTTGTTCGGGATGTATAAATACTTACCATGTCTAGTCTGTGTTTTTGTTAGGATGTTTTTCTACTTTGTATCAAACTGTTGAGTTAAGCCCTTTTAAACTTATTTTATTGTTTGTTCTTATGTTGTGTCGTATCACCACTGTCCAAGATTAGGGGGAGGATTGAGCGCTCACAATCATGTTCAACCCCGCCAAATTATCTAGGTGACTGTCCCAAAGTCAGGAGCCTGTAGTTCAGTGGTTGTCTTTGGTTCATGTATGTCATATTTGTTTCTCGTAAATTGTTTTGTTATAAATTAGGCCGTTAGATAGCTCAAATATTATTCATGTCAGGACCTTTTATTGCCGACTAAACGGTATGGGTTTTTCTAATTGTTTAAGGCCGTACGGTTGCCTATAAGTTCGTAAATCCACTTCAATTGAACTTTGGTGGATAGCTGTCTCATTGGCAATTATACCACATCTCCTTATTTTTTTTATAGTATTCAAACAAGTACATTTATCATTTTCTCGATATTTCGATGCAGTTTAATCAGTTCTAAGTGCGTTTCATAAAACCCCGAAATATCTTAATCATGAGCCTTATTATTATTATGAATTGAACAGTCATTTTTTATATGTCATTCTTCGTCATGTCTCTTTTATTAAACCTGTAAAATATATTTTGTTAATGAATTTGATTAATTGGTTTAATTATTTTTTTAAATTTTATGATAAAAATGAATGTATTCACTACTTGAAAATGACAAAAAAGAGAGTAAATAGGGTTACTAGAAACTCATTAAGTATTTTGCACGAAAAGGATAAAAATAAGAATGGAAACTGGGAATGGGTCAAAGAGACAAACCCGACCAAAGAGCAGAAAACAGCACAAGGTTTTTCTAGTCCAGCAGATATACACATATACAATGTACCATTTTTGAATGCATAATACAACATTTGGCGCAGACTATTTTGGTTTCTTTCGAGGACTACATTACAATCATGAATATAGTGGACTGATTAAAAGAACCAATTTGATGTTCACAAATGTTAATGTACCTTAAGCCATAACTGAAAATATTTTATTATTTTTTTTTCAGTTATGTATGCAGCGATCACAAGATTTAGAAATGTCATGGAGACTTTTATAGAAAAATCATTTTAACTCATTTTGCTTGCAATTATTCAGAATCAATGTTTTTTTTCTGAATTGCGTCTTTCAGAACCTTATATCAATAGTGTAGTTAATTTTATTATTTATTCAAAATCAGATATTATACATTTATTCACACCAAGGAAAGTGAACAAGATCACGATGTAGATATATATATGTTCCGGACCATATGAGCATTTGGACCATACGCGTATGGTCATGGCCATATGCGTATACCTATATGGTCCGACCATACGCGTATGGTCGGACCATACGAGTATTTAGACTATATAAGTATTTTTCAAATAAATTCTACTTTCATTCGCAAGAGCTCACAGCTCATTCTCCGAACTCAAAACGACACAAGTTACTAACTGAATTCCTTTATCATTTCATATTATCTGAATCTTGGTGTATTTGATATCTTGCTTTCGCTAAAATAAATTTAGAGCGTTTATCTTGTCGACATTTTCGTTCGCAAGTGAAACCACAGGTGTTTTGGGCATGGATCGTTTTTCATTTTTTGTTAGTGTTTAAATTATTATTTTAGAAACAAAATTTCTTCTAATCTCAACTTATTTTCTTCAATTATTGTTTTCTTTCTCATATTCATACGAATTTTGTGTTATTGTAAGATCGTTTAAATAGGAACAAGAACACATTAAATATTTATTAAATAAAATCCATTTCAAAAATTCAGTTTTCAATGCCCAAAGTTTCTGTGAGTTAAGCAATTGACTACTTGTTTAACAGTTCATATAAATATTTCTTAAAGTTAGTTTTATTAAGTCGACATATTGCGTTTCGTACAAATTTAAGGACAAATCAATAATGACCATGTAAAGATGATTTTACTAAAATTCTTACTTGTAAGTTAAATTCACTTTATCATATTAATCATGTGACAATGCTTACGGTATGATTGAATAAGTAAAAAATCCATTCTTAGAAACTCTTAATTGATGGTACTCCTTTTTATCGTTTATCGTGTTCATTAACCGGACCATACGCGTATGGTCGGACCATATGAGTATAAACGCATATGGTCATGAACATACGCGCATGGTCCAAATACTCATTTGGTCCGGAACATATATACAGTCAAACCTTGTTATATAAAAGTCGAATGGACCGGACCAAAGTATTCGACTTATCTGAGGTTCGAATCAATCGAGTATGTCGTCATAAATTTTGGAATGCATGAAATACGGTAATAGATTTGTATAAGCTAGATACCTTGAACAGTGTGCCTTTTTTTTATATGATACATTCAACCTCCATATTGTTTGGTCCTTCATAATAATTAAATACACAAGTACAGGTACAAATCATGCACAAGTAAAATCAATAGTATACGCAAATATTTACAAAGGTCAGTCACTATAAATTATGAAATCACTTGCGAAACGAAACAAGTTCAGAACAGTCTCTGATGAGGTCGTCTGCTTTACA